CTGCTGAATATGGTACTGCAAAGATGCACATGTTCCCTAACTGGGGTGTTGTCACTTATGGGGCTGGGCTGCCAAATACACAGACCAATACCTTTGTGTCTTTTAAGTCTGGGAAGCTGGGGGGACGAGCTGTGTATGACATAGTTCACTTTCAGCCATACTCCTGGATTGATGGGTGGAGAAGCTTTAACCCGGGACATGAACATCCAGATCAGAACTCTTTTACTTTTGCCCCCAATGGGCAAGTATTTGTTTCTGAAGCACTCTATGGCCCCAAGTTGAGCCACCTGAACAACGTATTGGTGTTTGCTCCATCACCCTCAAGCCAGTGTAATAAGCCCTGGGAAGGTCAGCTGGGAGAATGCGCCCAGTGGCTCAAGTGGACTGGTGAAGAGGTTGGTGATGCAGCTGGGGAAATCATCACTGCTTCTCAGCACGGGGAAATGCTGTTTGTGAGTGGGGAAGCAGTGTCTGCCTATTCATCAGTGATGAGGCTGAAAAGTGTGTATCGTGCATTATTGCTCTTAAATTCTCAGACTCTGTTAGTTGTTGATCACATTGAGAGACAGGGAGACTCCCCAATACATTCTGTCAGTGCCTTCTTTCATAACCTGGATATTGATTTTAAGTACATCCCGTACAGGTTTATGAACAGGTATAATGGAGCCATGATGGACGTGTGGGATGCACACTACAAAATGTTTTGGTTTGATCATCGTGGCAATAGCCCCATGGCCACTATCCAGGAAGCTGAGCAAGCAGCCGAATTTAAGAAGCGGTGGACTCAATTTGTTAATGTTACGTTTCAGATGGAATCCACGATTACAAGAATTGCATATGTCTTTTATGGGCCATATGTGAATGTTTCCAGCTGCAAGTTCATTGATAATTCCAATTCTGGACTTCAGATTTCTCTCAATGTCAATAATACTGAACATGTTGTTTCCATTGTGACTGACTACCGTAACCTGAAAACACGATTCAATTACCTGGGGTTTGGTGGCTTTGCCAATGTGGCTGACCAAGGCCAAATAACTCGATTTGGTTTGGGCACTCAAGCAATAGTGAAACCTGTGAAACATGATAGAGTTATTTTTCCGTTTGGATTTAAATTTAATATAGCAATTGGATTAATTTTGTGCATTAGCTTGGTGATTTTAACTTTTCAATGGCGGTTTTACCTTTCTTTTAGAAAATTAATGCGCTGGATACTACTGCTTGTCATTGCCTTGTGGTTTATTGAGCTTCTGGATGTGTGGAGCACTTGCACTCAGCCCATCTGTGCAAAATGGACAAGGACAGAGGATGAGGCAAGCAAGAAGACTTTACCTTCTGAAGGGCAACGTGTCGATCTTCCCGATGTTGTCATTACCTCACTTCCTGGTTCAGGAGCTGAAATTCTTAAGCAACTTTTTTTCAACAGTAGTGATTTTCTCTATATCAGAGTCCCTACAGCTTACATTGATATCCCTGAAACTGAATTTGAGATTGACTCATTTGTGGATGCCTGTGAATGGAAGGTGTCAGATATCCACAGTGGGCACTTCCGTTTACTCCGAGGCTGGTTGCAGTCTTTAGTCCAGGACACAAAACTACATTTGCAGAACATCCATCTGCATGAACCCAGTAGGGGTAAACAGGCCCAATATTTTACAATGAATAAGGACAAAAAGAGAAAATTGAAAAGGAGAGAATCTTTGCCAGAACAAAGAAGTAGAATGAAAGGCGCCTTTGATAGAGATGCTGAATATATTAGGGCTTTGAGGAGACACCTGGTCTATTACCCGAGTGCACGTCCTGTGCTCAGCTTAAGCAGTGGGAGCTGGACGTTAAAGCTTCACTTTTTTCAGGAAGTTTTAGGAGCTTCGATGAGGGCCTTGTATATAGTAAGAGACCCTCGGGCATGGATTTACTCAATGCTGTACAGTAGTAAACCAAGTCTTTATTCTTTGAAGAATGTACCAGAGCACTTAGCAAAACTGTTTAAAATAGAGGGAGGAAAAGGCAAATGTAACTTAAATTCAGGCTATGCTTTTGAGTATGAAGTGTTGAGGAAAGAATTGTCCAAATCCAAGTCAAATGCTGTCTCCTTGCTGTCTCATTTGTGGCTAGCAAACACAGCAGCAGCCATGAGAATAAATACAGATTTGCTGCCTACCAGCTATCAGCTGGTTAAGTTTGAAGATATTGTGCATTTTCCTCAGAAAACCACTGAAAGGATTTTTGCCTTTCTTGGAATTCCTTTGTCTCCTGCTAGTTTAAACCAAATATTGTTTGCCACTTCCACAAACCTTTTTTACCTGCCCTATGAAGGGGAAATATCACCAACTAGCACTAATGTTTGGAAACAAAACCTGCCTAGAGATGAAATTACACTAATTGAGAGCATCTGTTGGACACTGATGGACCGTCTAGGATATCCAAAGTTTATGGACTAAATGCTGCAGGTCAGCAGAAGTTTGCACTAATGCTTCCCAACCCATTTTGTGGATATGAATTAGAAGAGTTTGTTTATTCTTGTACACTGTGTGTGTGTGTGTGCATACACGTGTGTGTGGGTGTGTGTGTTTAGTCTGTTACTTGCACAGAGAGATTATTTTAAAACGTGGCACTCAATTTGGTCTAGCAGGATTTATTTTTATGTCACCACTTACTTGCCTTTGTTTCTGAAAAGTTTCCTTCTAAAAATGTTTCTGCTACAGAGGTGTAGATGAAGTTATATCATGGGGGTCAGGGGAGATGGGAGGAATTTAAAGATTTCTGTCTAACTTGCCTTCATCTGTAACTGTGCTAATCTATCTTGGGACCTCAAACACTGCTAAAAGCCTTGCAATTGCTGCTTTAGCCGAGCATCTCTTGCTTTCAAGATGGACTACAAAAGTTCCTTATCTTTTTGAAAAGGTCTTCTAACACACTTATCTCTCACAAAGAAAAAGAAAAAAGAGAAAAAAGAATTCCTTTTACTGTGTATAATGTTTAGTGATATCACTGGGGATATGGTGAAAGCTCCTATCAAACCTTTAGAATTCCTTCTGGAAAATACAGATGGAAATACAGAATGAACATGTTTCTTGAGGTTAGAAACAGTGACCTGAAAAATCTCCTTAAAGTTTTCTTTTTCTTTTTTTTTTAACTTTGAAATAATAAGGAATAAGTTTTTGAACAATCTAAGTGCCAAGGGCTGTTAGATTATTTTAGACATGATTGTCTGTTTAAAACTTTTTTGCATCGCTGAAGCTACAGCTGTTCCCCATCACACCACTCCCACCCTCTCCTATCTGTCACTGTCA